TTGGGTTCACATACTTTTTTTACTTTTGTCCAGTTATTCCATAGCATTCTGAAAGAATGAAATACTTTTTAAAATTTTAAACTGATTAGTATTTAACGTTACTTTGGAAGACTCCCTACATGTCTAACTAAATGTCGCAATCAAAATCAGTTACTTTTTGGTTGTTTCTTGATGTACACAAACCTTTTCTCTTTTTTTGTGAACCAGGAAAAAGTTAAATTCTTAAGTGCCAGTTTCTAAGTACCAGTTCTAAATTTTTTTCTCTCTCTTCACTCCAAAACTTCACTGACACCACCCCCAAACCTGCCTCTTTATAATCATTGAGATGACTTTCTCTAGTTGCAAAATAATAAACCTGTCATTGGGGGGGGGGGTGAATGCTCTCAATTCTCATAAAACAAATTTTAAAGAATGTTAACCCAAAACTTGCTAGAATATTTCAATATTTATGAAAACATTCAAACCACAATTTAGGGATTCACAGTAGAGAATTCATATTTTAGTCCCAAATTCAGTTTCTAATTAGCTTACAACATAAAAACATCATATGGTCTACGGGAAAATATTCCTTTCTTGTCTGTCCTTCCCTCCATACTCCCCAAACCTGACCATAGTTCAGGAATGTAGAGGTAAAGAAAGAACCTTTTTTGAAAGCTTAATAACCTTCTCAGAGTGGTTTACATTCTTTTTTCCAGAAAAAGGTTAGTTAACAAGACTCATGGTGATAGATTTGGTGGCAAAGTTTTCTTCTAAGCTCTGTGCATACACTTACACACACACAGACTGTGAGAGACACACAAACACAGGCACAGAAAAACACACAGACAGTTATGAGACAGTGGCCCAAATATTCCTTTACTAATGACGCTTTCAGTTACTAGCCTTTTGAATATTTACTCCTTGCCTGATAATAAGCACAACTCGTAAGCATGTTGCTATTCTGTTTCGTCCTTACTAGATGTCTCCAGAGGCCATATTATCTTACATACACACAAATACACACAGGCTAAGGAATTATTACCCTTCAGAACTTCACCTGTCTTGTTTCCTGCATACCCTAATTCCAATACTTCCTTTACCAATTATATCCCATTCCTTTCTGAGTTTTTTTCTTTCCCTGTCTCTCTCTTCTCTGCCTTCTGATATGTCTAGATGGGAGGGGAGAGGTAGGGAGGGAGGGAGGAAGCGAGAAAGAGAGAGAGAGAGAGAGAGAGAGAGAGAGAGAGAGAGAGAGAGAGAGAGAGAGAGAGAGAGAGAGAGAGAGAAACTCTTCCAGTTTTCTTTTCCCCTATACCATCCTCTGTCTTTCCAAAAAACATTCCTAGTCACCTCTGTCTTTTATCTTGAGCTCATTCTGTTTTTTGTCCTGTAACAATAAGTGCAATTGCCATTTCAAAATCTCTCTTAACAGCACTGGAAGTCTCATGTTTGCCTAGAAGGCTATAAATTTTCCATCAAGTGGAATTTTCCATCTGGGCATCCCTGAACTCATGCAGCTGGCCACACCCAGGATTACCCCTGGCTGATGGGCCACCCTTCCTCCTAGGATGTGGGTGACCACCTTGAGGACTTCCCCCCATGGAAGCCTGTCTCCTGAGCCCAGGGCAGGCATCTAGCATGCATATGTGCCTTCCTCCAGGGATGTGGGTGAGCAGCTAAGGATTGCCCCCAAGGAAGGTCTCTCTCCCCAAGCCCATTTCCTTGTTATCCTGCTGACTGTGTCAATTGGAAGGACACAAACCATCCAAAGGAACAATCTCAAGGTAATGGGAAGGTACTGAGATACCAAAGAAAAAAGCAGACCAAGTCAGCATGGCTATATATGTGTAGATTTATTGGGGTTGATTGGGTTAATTTTGGGGGAGTTTATTCAAAGACCCATTCTTGGCAGCAGGACAGTGGTAGATCTCTGCACCATCTTAGGCCAGGTTAGATATTATATAGAAACAGAACAAAAAAGGCATAGTGCCAGGGATGGTGCGGGGTCACATGCACGTTTTCCCATGGGATAGTTAGGCTCTTCTGCTGTTTACATTAAAGGTAGTTTGTATTATCTGTAGAGTCTTAGGTCCTGTTTTCATACTCTAGCTCCTACCATATATCCCCAAACTCCTGCATCAAATCCAGCAGGCAGGATAGGAGAATGTTGTATGGTCTGCCACAACTTTGTGACTGCAGGTGGGATGCACATTGCCAGATGAGTTAGGGTAGATTGTGTTTATGCCCAGCTGGGCTAATTCATTGTGGGTGGACCAACCCCTATGAAAACTGATCCACACCAGCAGGAGTAACCCAAATCCTGGTTTCCCATTAGCTCACAGTCAAAGGGGTTCATGCATGCACTAAACAAGGGTTTGAACTGAGATGATATCTAAGGTCTCTTCAAAATTTTAAGATTCTAGGCTAATTGGTTCAGTATATATTTATTTATAAATAGAAAGTCTTTGGTCTTTAATTTAGATTTTCTCTTTGTCTGTTTTTTCCTATGTCTTGGAGTTAGCCGTCTGTTGCTCAGACACAAGGACCCAAACACTTGGGGCAGTTTTCAGTAGAGTAAAACTTTTAGGGCTGAAGAAAAAATCTCATTATGCTATAATTCCAGGGTCCCTATGGGTCAATTCCAGTTTTCACTCCAGCTCGGATACACCTTCTGTTTATTTCATTGCTTTCTTATCATGCTATCTACAGGGGCTTTTCAGAATCTTTGCCATACTTGCCAAACTCCTTACTATTCTACTTTGCTTGGTCTCCTATCCTACAGACTTAGCTTCTCACTTAACAAAGAGATTGAGGTCATTTGTAGTGCAAATGACCTCTCAAGTTCCATTTGTTCCTCTTTGGAAATATTTTTGTTATCACCTCCTCCTCTCTGTCACTGCCCCTCTTCACTGTTCCAAGTCACATAACATCTCTAAGCCTCAGCTTCCTCAGTACATTGAGGGGGGCGTGGAGACCATACTGGATCATATTTTAAATCCCTGCCTGTGCTAAAGTTCTATGAAAATTTAAGACATAAATATATATATATATATATATACCTATCTATATCTATATCTATATCTATATCTATATCTTTCCTTTCCAAGGCAAACCTTCTACCTGTGCCTTCGGCCCATTCCCAAATGCTGAGTACCATTTATGGCTCTCTCAGTGGGTGAAAATGATTTTGAGGTATTGGATGGTTTGTGTTGCATTCAATTCACCAGTATATGGATAGTCAGTACCTTTCACTTCTTCTAATCCCAAGCCCTTATCTCTGAATGCAATACCTACTGTGGTAGCATTCCATATGCTTTAATATCCTGTTGCGTCTTTGACATAAGCACCCAATGAAACTGGGAGGGCATGTTTACATAAAACCATTTTCCAGCAGCTTCTGGCATTGTGGCTGGGGTAGTGACTAAAACTGTCACTTTTCCTCCTGATGTTTTGGTATCAGATAACCCAACAGTTCTGGAAAAGCTGGTTTGCTAGACCTGCATTCTGGTTTTGCCATATGAAATTTGCATCAAATTTGCCCTTCTTCTTATCTATCCTCCCCTTTTATCACTCTTCAAATGAGATATTTATAAAGTACTTAGCACAGTGCCTGGCACATAGGCACTTAATGCATGCTTGTTCCTTTCTTCCTTATGCCACTAATCTGATAGGATCTAACCATCTGTCTGAGGCAGACATGTATGTTTTGCTACATATACAGATACAAAGGAAAATCTAAGAGTGCTTCTTGGGAGATTTCATTCCTTCTTCAATCTAAGCAGATAATCATCTAACACATCAAATGCCATATATACGCTGCAGGAAAAGTGCAATTTGCCTGTTTCAAATGTCCTTCATTGGATCATAAATATAGAGCTGGAAGGGGCCTCTGAGGCCATCTTATCCAGTCCCCTCATTTTACAATGAAGAAACTGAGGCCTAAGGATATTCAATGACTTGCTCAGGGGTCACATGGGCAGTAAGCCTCAGAGGCCACATTCAAACCCAGAGCCAGCACCCATTCCATCATACCATGCTGCCTCCCTTGTGTGTCTTTATGTAAAAGAAAAAAAAAATAGGTTTGACCTTTTTAAAGAGCAAGTTCATTCATCAAGGGAAGCTATGGTGGGGAAACTAACCTGTCCCCATTTTCCTGTGCATATATTCCAAGGGGAGGGAACAGGAAAGAGAAGGGACAAGGGGATCAGCTACTAGTGGAATTTAGGGGAACCACTTGAAGGGTCTGAATGTAAGAAAGACTCAAAGCCAGAGGAAGCTGTATTCTCCAGGTGGTGACAAAATAAAGAAAGGAGACTTCGTGCCTCTTTGGATTTCAAGTCCATTTAAGTAAACCAACGTTTATTAAGTATTTGTCATCATGTATAAGTCTTTACATACAGAGGCAGATTTCAGAAACAACCCCTTCCCTCAAGGGTCTCACAATCTATTGGGGAAATAACATGTAAACACAGAAGTTGTAACACAAGATAACTTGAACAAACAGCAAACACTAATATCCTCTGGGTTTGGGAGAGTTAAAACTGGGGAGATCAGGAAAGGAATCTAATAGGTTGAAGTTAAGGAGGGAGGACATCTCAGGCAGAGGGGAAAGTCTGGGTTGAAAAGGAGAGACCATTAAGACACAGTTGCAACCTCCAGTAGAGAGAAGATCAAGTCAGAAGCTAGGGTGGTATCCTTATGCGTGGAGAGCAAGGGACCCATATAAGTAAGGGATCAGAAGGGTAGGACCACCAAACTTGACAACTGGTTACATGTGGGGAGGTGGGAAGGTGGAAGGAAGAGTGAGCCTGAAGTGCTGCAAACATAGTGGGACACTCAGGAGAAAGAGAAGAGAGAATTTGGAGGAGGAGGAGAAAGTAGAAATCAGAGGGAAAGAGTGATTTCTCTTGGATAAGGTGAACCTACAGAATCATGTGGATAGGATTTGATTTAGAAAAATTATTTTCTATAAATATTACAACAAAGGGAACCTGTGTTTATTTCCAATCGTATTCTTATGAACGAAAGCACCTCCTTCCCCTTTCTTTTTACTTGGAGCATTTTGACTTTCCATGGGTCAGGATATGAGACTTCAGGTTGGTTGACTGGGCAAACATCTTGGTACAGCCATCAAAGGGGCACGCGTAGGGGCGATCGCCAGTATGGATACGCATGTGCGTGCGTAAGTTGAAGTCCAGTGAGAAGCGCTTCTCACAACCTTTGTACTTGCACTGAAAGGGCTTCTCTCCCGTATGGACTAATTTATGGCGCTTTAGTTTGGAACTCTCAACGAAAGCCTTTCCGCATTCTGCGCAGACGTGACCCTTGGGCCCATGGGTATGCAGATGTTTCCGCAGGGCGGAGTTATCTCTGAACAGCTTGGGACAATCTTCATGAGGGCAAGGCAGCTTTTTCTCAACTTCATGAGGTGATTTATTTTGATGGATAAATTCAGCTAGTTGTTTGGGATCAGAGAGATTGATCAGAGTCAGTCCTCCAGGAGAGAGCGGCTTCTTGGTCGGATTCTCAGGCATCTCCAAAGCTAAAGCTTCTTCCGGGAGCTCCTGGTTTTCTCTCACGGTCTCAGAGATCACCTTGCTTTCCTCATCTGCGGCCCACATGGTGATGGCGAATTCTCCCTCCAGGGTCTTGAGTTGTTCTTGCTTCTGCTCCCAACTCTGAGGGCCTTCCTCTGAGCCATCATCAGAGCCTTGACCTCCGTCTGCTGCACTGCCGCCATTCCCTTCATCTACTGTGGGTTCACATAAAGAAAAGGAAGCAAAGACATAGATTAGCAATCCAAATAACTTTATGATTCTAGGCCTAAACTAGACCAGGCTCATGACTTAAAGGTTGATGGCGTAATGGTTTCTGAAGAAGAGAGCCACCTGAAGCCCTGCAGACAGGGGTGCACACGTTACTACCCTAAGTTAACTCAATTCAGTAAACATTTAGGCCTTATGGTGTGCCTAGAAGAGCTGTCATCTAGGGCAAGGGGAGTGGAGATTGACACACAGGCAGAAAATTGAGAGGACACATTCCCCCCACCATAAGTGACAGTACCCTAGGGGTGATTTCTTCTGATTTAGCCCATGCCATTACTCCCAAGTCCCTAGTTACAGTTCTGGGGCTAGGCACTGTGCTAGAGTCTGGGATAAAAAAAAAATGAAAATAGTCCTTACCCTCAAGCAGCTTACACTCTGCTACAATTGTAAATCAAAAGAAAACAAACAAAAACAATCCCCAGTTGTTTGGAAAGTTTTTGAGTCTCCCTTCTAGGAGGCAGTAGAGTAAGCTGAATATAGTGGACAGAAAGCCTTGGAGTCAGATAGGCCTGGGTTCCAACTCTGCCCTATTAGCTGGGAAGTCACTCATATTCTAATAACCTACTGCAAAGTACCAGGTACTTGGTTTTGGACATGTTGAGTTTGAGATGTGAGACTGGAGGTCAGAGAGTTTGGGGCAGGAAAGGTAGATTTGAGAATCATCGGTATAGAGGAGATGGGAGCTGATAAGATTACCAAGTGTAGTGTAATATAGAGGGAGAAGAGCAGGATGAGGATCTAGCAAAAGAGACAGAGAAGAAGCATTTGGGCTTGTATTTGTATTCCCAGCACTTCGCACAGAGCCTAGTATATAACATTGACTTCCCTGGTTTCCTTTAAATCCCCACGAAAATCTCACCTTTCACAGGAAGCCCTCCCTGACCCTTCTTATTCTAGTGTCTTTCCTTTGTTAATAACTTCCTATTTATCCTGTGTCTAACTTTTTTTTTTTTTGGGGTGACTTGCCCAGGGTCACACAACTAGTAAGTATCCCGGGTCTGAGACTGGATTTGAGCTCACATCCTCCTGACTCCAAGGCCAGAGCTCTATCCACTGCACCACTATAACTTCTTTATAAATATTTGTTTACTTGTTGTCTTCCCCGTTAGATTGTAAGCTTCCTGAGGGCAGGGATTGTCTTTTCCCTCTTTTTGTACCCCCAGAACTTGCACAGTGCCTGGCACATAGGAGATGCCTAATACATCTTTATTGACTGATTGATTGGCAAGTACTTAATGCTTTATAAGCATAAAATATAGGATTACAAAGGAAGCCATTTATATTGAAATAGTTATCAAAATATTAAAAAAAGCAAGTTCACTGACCCTAGGTTAAGAACTGCTGTTCTAGGCTATGTCTCTCATCATCCTCAGAAGAAGATTTAGGTTTGGAAGGGACCTTAAAGAACATTTAGTCCACCCCTCCTCCCATTTTACAGATCAGGAAACTGAGGTCCAGAGGGAAAGTAACTAGTACAAGGTCAAATGGACAGGAAGTAGCAGATGTAGGATTCTAACATAGGTCCTCTGACTCTAAATGCAGAGCTCATTCAAAAATATCTCCCTGCCTAATTCATTACAAATCAAAGTGAACAATGATCCAATGTCACTTTGGAAGAAAGTCTCCAGTGGAGTGTCAGAGAGCTGGATTGAACTGAATTCTGATATATGTATGTATTTGCATGTATGTGTGTATGTGGGTGTATATACATATGACACAGAGAGAGGAACCCATTAGCTATGTGACCCTGGGCAAGGCATTTAACCTCTCATTGTCTCAGCTTCCTCACCCGTAAAATGCTGCTGATACTTCCTAGGCATGTGAATATGGGCTAGTACCTTCACCACTCTGAGCCTCAGCCTTCTCACCCTTAAAATGGGGATAACAGCTGAAGCACCTACCCCATAGGGTTATTGTGAGATACACATGAGATACTGTCTGTAAAGTGCCTTGTAAACTTTTAACACATTCTAGAAATGAGTTATAATTAAGGATATGGGGAATTATAAAAAGGAAAAGATAAAAAAAGACCAAAATTCACCTTTTGAGATTTCTCATGCCTCAGAGTGACTGACATAATTCTAATTCCTGCTTTTTTGACCAGAAAGAATTATTGTTTTGAGTAATTGCCTTTCTTTGTATCCCCAGCTCTTAATGCAGTTCCAGGCACCTAACGAGTCCTTAATAACTGCTGCTTAACTGTTGTTAACCGACAAAACAAACTTCGGAGCACTGCAGTCAGGCTTTCCAGAAGAAGACTGGTAAATGCCCAGCCAGTGCACAAGGTCAGCTGCTGCTCCACGTGCCTACTCACCATGCACCCCAGGCCCTTCTGACAAATCATTAGTAGGAACCTTGGAGAGTTCTAGGCACAATTAAGGTGAAAAGTAGTGCATACACCGTGTGCTGGGCTGGAATAGCATCCTGGCCTTGTGCTTAGGTGAATAAGGAAAGCTGAACTGATAAAAGGTGAGAGGAAATTTCTACCTTTTGGTTTTAAGCAAATGGTATTTTTTCCCCCTTTAACTAAATAAATCAGGACCATCATGCCAATGTGAAAATTAATTTAAAAAAACACATTAGGTCAGGGAATGGAAGGAAAATCAATTTATGTGGATCTCTGCTTCCCTGTTACTTAAAACACTCTAAAAATTAAAAGGGCTATTATGTTCATTCCAGAAGGCACTCAAAATTCACCTCAGGAACTAAATGCAAAGGTGCCAGACATTCATCTTCTCCAAAGCATCAAATTGCTGCTGGTTTCATATCAGCTAGCTACACTATAACAAATGTGGTTTAAAAATAAGGAAACTCCCCCCCCCAAAAGGCTAAATGAGGGGGGAAACAGGTCCATATCTTCTGAAGAACTACTGGGGTTCAAATAAGTATCATAGAATTGTAGACACAAATATGAAAGGCATGTTGGCAAGCCAATTCAATTCAGTAAACGTTTATTAAGTGCCTACCAAGTGCCCGGCCCTGTGCTAAGTGCTGGGAATACAAAAAAGAAGGCAAAGTCAGTGCCTTCCTTCAAAGAGCTTGTAATCTAATGGGGGAGACAAGATGGAAACTAATACAAACAAAGCATGCTTTATACAGGCTAAATAGGAAATAATTAAAAGAGGGAAAACATTGACTTAATCAGGGTTAGGGAAGGCTTCCTGTACCTCCTTGTTTTGTACATGAGGAAAAACTGATGCCCAGGGAGAGTGACTTGCTCCAGGTCACGTGGATAAGAAATGGTAGTGCTAAGTGTCCAACCCAAGTCACTTGACTCCAAATCCAGGGTGCTCCCTATTGTACTATGCTGCCTCCACTGTAATCCACAAACTGCCCCCATTTTAGCTATGTGAACATGTTGAATAGGGTCCTGAACCTCTCCCAGCCTCAGTTTCTTCATCTGTATGATGGAGATAACAATAGCAGTAATAATATCTACCTCTCTGGGCTATTGTGAGGCTCTGAGTGGATGGATGGGGATTACTTCTAAGGTGTCAGCTAGTGCCAGAGATTTAGAGCTGGAAGGGAACTTGAAAATCATTTGCTATAGATGAGGGGACTGAAGCCCGACAAGAGTGATCCAGACACCCCACCCCCACCCTGGTCACCTAGTCAGTAAGTGGTCCAATGAGAATGCCAATCCAGGTTCTCTGATTCCCGATTTAGCCACTCTATCCTGAAGTCAGGAAGAGCCAAGTTCAAATTTGACAACTACAGGCTGTGTGACTATGAGCAAGGCATTTAATCTCTGTTTGCCCCAGTTTTCCCAGCTATAAAATAGGGCAGTTAGGTGACACAGTGCGTAAAGTGCTGGGCCTGGCATCAAGAAGACTCATCTTTCTGAGTTCAAATCTGGCCTCACTTATTAGCTGTGTGACCCTGAGCAAGTCACTTCACCCTGTTTGACTCAGTTTCCTCATCTGTAAAATGGGCTGGAGAAGGAAATGGCAAACCCCTCCAGTATCTCTGCCAAGGAAACCCCAAAAGGGGTCATAAAGAGTCGGAAATGGCTGAAAAACAACAGCGAAATAAGGATGATAATAGCACCTATTTCCCAGGGTGAATGTGGAAATCAAATGTGATAATATTTGTACAGCACCTGACTCGAAGTAGGCAGACAATCCTTCTTCCCTTTCTCCCTCTCTTCTTTCCAGGAGCTCCCCTCCACTGGAGTCTGGATTACTACTGGTCAGGTACACTGTAGGGAAAATTCAGTTTGGGTATGCGTCAGACTAGCTGGTAGCAATATACCGGGCGTTGGTGCCTCCAGCAGCTCAGTCTCAAGCCGGTCCCCAGCCTTGCTTACGGTGTGCTTGGTGTGGCGGGAGTTGTAGTAGTAAATGATAAAAACATGATCGCCAATATATATACACATTATATCTATATCTATATCTATATATACACACGCATATATATATACATACACACACATACACACGTATATATATACATACATACACACATACACACGCATATATATATATATATATATATATATATATATACATAACACATATACACACATATATATGTCGAAGGGTCTTCCATACATTTTCTCATTTTAGCCTCAGGGCGTGCTCTGCACTGGGGTAAGTGGAGGCCTAGACAAACATTTTCACCTGCATTGTTTTCAGGGTGATCTTAGATTACCTCGGGCTGATTTGGAGAAGCTAGCACCTGGGCTGAGGGAGTGAGCTTGTTTTTCCAACATGGCAGGAAGTGCCTGGGGTGGGGAAGCCCAAACTCTGTTACTTACTACTCATGACTGTAGGCAAGTGACGTCCTTTGCTGTGAAAATAAAGGGTTAGAGATGGTGGTGAAGACCAAGGCAGGAGGAGAACAAGAGGTGAAGGCTGGCAGTCAAGGCCCGAAAGACCCAAGTCATGGAGGCAGCTAAGTAGTGACCTAACTGGAAATGAAGGATCCAAGATGTCCTTCAGCTTCTTGGCCTGATTGGGTGCCAGCTTGTAACTTTGGGTTTTTCTTGGACTCTTCTTCCTCACCTCTCATGTCTATTCAGTTACCAGACCCTTCTGGTCCCACTTCATAGCCCCCTCTCACATCAACTCTCCCTCCTCTGCAATTATCCTTATTGATTTGGGCCTCATTTTCACCAACCCCAGATGTTAATAGTACTTGAACAGTTGTCCCTGCCTCTGTTTTCTTCAATCCAGCCTTACCAGACACAGTTTCTCGACACATTTCCTTATGCATAGATCAGGTCGGGTCACTCCTGTGCTCAAAAGTCTTCAGTGGCTTCCTGCTGCCTAGCCAGTAAAATTCAACTAACTTTGGCTTGTATTGAAGGCCATCTGGCACCATTCTACTGTTCTAATCTTCAATCTCTCTAATCAGCTTAGGTAAGACTGCATACTATAGCTACTTATGCATTTGTGTTGTCCCTGTGCTATATCTTACAGGCTACATGAAAGCAGAGATGGTCTAAGTTCAACTGTTTATCTTTTCTGAAGTCTAGCACAGTAGCTCTGTACACAGTGGTTGCTTAATAAAGGCAAGAGAGCATGTGTTTATAGCTTGGAAGGGACCTTTGGGATCACTGAGTCTGACCCCTTCATTTTACAGATGAGGTAACTGAGGCATAGAGAGGTGTAATGATTTGCCCAAGGTCACACAGGTAGAAGAGGGTCTTGAACATGGGTGGGTGGGGGGGACTTGATTCCAAATCCAATGTTCCTCATGTTTGTTTTTCAACTAGAAAATAAGGAAAATTGGCTGGAACTTTGATTTGATCATTGATCATTAGACTTGGAATGTCCCAAAGTTTTTCTATGCCCACCTATGAAGTGGGAGAATACTGTATCCAACCAGCCCATCCTCATTTATACAAGGAAGTCCATGGCTATGGATTGCTTTGAAAGGTGATTTGCAAAATTAAAAAAAAGTAATTCTTATATAGCTGATCCTAGTACATGTTTAGATCATGCTTCACTGTTTTTCTGCATGGGTTGGCAGATAGATTTTATAGGTTTCTGGCTAATTTCTATTCACTACAATACATTTTTTTTATCAGGGCATTTACTTAAAGGTACTGAGTGCCCTGGAGAGAAGTGTTGCAGTCAGGTATGAAGCAGGAGAACTCCCAAGAGGAAGGGATGTGCTTTGCAAAGCAGATGTGTAGCTGGAACTCTCCTTCTAGAGGACAGAAAGGGTTCTACCTGGCACTTCGGTGGCAAAGGGGGTCAATCAAGAAATAATTGACCCTAATTAGCATTCCCACAAGCTGTTTAATTTCTTTACCTGCAATTGAGTGACACTGGGGAAAGGTGGAAGAAAAATCTTCCCTGTTATTAAAAGCACCAAAGGAAACCAGATAAATCCTTCCCTGACCCAGCAGAATAAATACCAACCCACTGGCAGTCTACTGGAAGTGAGAATAAATATAGTGGCCCCAGTGGCATGGGGCCTTTGAAAAGTTATATTTGATGCAAAGAGCTGATCACTTACTTAGGAGATCAGAAGACTTGGCTTTGGGAGGCCACAGAAGGCAGGGAGGTGCATCTTAATTCACTTTTCTTGGCAAGGCTGCAAGTTTGGATTTCAGGCAGGCTTGGTGATAATCTGATCAAGAGCTTTCCTCTTTATTTCTAACATAGTTTAAGGTTAGCTCCCAAGTAGTGGGTTGGGTTTTTTTCCCCTGACACAGCAATAAATGAAGACTACCAAACTACTCAAACTCACCAGAAAGATGTGTCCAACCTCTGAGCCTTCTAAGAACAAATGCGACAGTGATAAGTAGAGAAGGGGCGTGCTCCAGCCAGCTCTGCCAGGCTCCTGAGAGCCAAGTTTCAGTATGAGCACTTGCATGTCCGGAACTGGCAAATGCCACAAGTCAGGGCTTGATTTATTATTTTGTGGATTGTCACTCTAAGACTTAAGGAAGTGACGCAGAAAATGTTAATGCAAATTAAACTTAGAAATGTGTTATGTGGGGCAGCTAGGTGGCGCTGCAGTAAATAGAGCACCAGTCCTAGAGAGGACCTGAGTTCAAATGCTGCATCAGACACTTGGCACTTATTAGTTGCATGATCCAGGTCAAGTCATTTAACCTTGATTGCCTCAAAAAAAAACCCAAACCAACAAAAATAACAAAAAAAAGGTGTTCTATGTAATCCACCCCCTGCTCCTTCACTAAGGACTGGTTGTTAAACTTTTACCAACACACCCCTGTAAGTATGACTGGTAATGAGAGTATCAGATTACTAAGCAAGCCCCTGAAGTGAGTGCTGAACTTTCTTCCCTTATTTTCTCCCAAGATCATCTCTTCCCCACCCTAATGACTATATTCTCCTCTAGGCCCCAGCTCCTGCTCATCCACTCCCATTTTCAGAAGACCTTGCCTTTTATCTATACAGTCAAGATCAAAAGTCATTTGGTGTTGTTCACTTTTATCTAGTTTTGTCTTGAGCTCAACATCTCCCTGGTGATCTTTCATACTGCCTCGAATGGGGTGGGGGGCTCCATCTTTCGATGTCCATCACTTCCCTTTCTGCCTTCCCTCCCAAAAGCCATAGCTCTTCCAGTTATCTTGTCCACCATTCTCATCGAACCTTCAGTGCCCCCTTATTAAAAGGGATTAGGGAAAGCTTCTTGAAGAAGGTGGGGTTTTAGCTAGGACCTGAAGCCAAGGGGTGAAAGTGAGGAGGGAGAACACTCCAGGCATCAGGGATGGACTTTGAAAATGCCCAGAGTTGGGAGATGGAGTGTCTTGGTTGAGAAATATGCAGGAGGCACTCCTCCAGTGTCACTGGATCATAGAAGACATGAAGGAGAGTAAAGGAAATGGAAGCTGGAAAAGGAGCAAAGGTCCAGGTTTTGAGGGGTTTTTTTGAAGCCCAACAGAGGGTTGTATATTTGATTCTGGAAATAATAGTGAGCCCCTTGAGTTTGAGTAATGACAGGGAGGTGTGTGACACGGTCAGACAGACCTGAACTTTAGGAAGATCACTTTGGTAGGTGAGTGGAGAATGGATTGGAGGGGAGAGAGACTTTAGACAAGGAGACCAACCATTAGGCTGCTGCATTACTCCAGGCATGAAGGGATGAGGGCCTATACCCAGATGGTGGTAGTGTCATTTATGTGGTAGGGGGCATTTATGACAGATGTTGGGGAATGTGGAAATCAACAGGACTCAACAACAGATTGGATATGGGGGTGAGAGAGTTGAGGATGACACCTAAGTTGTGAGCCCCTGGGTCTGGAAGGATGGTAGTACCCTTGACAGTAATAGGGAAGAGTTAGGAAGAGGAGAAAGTGGGGGGAAAATAATGAGTTCACTTTAGGTATGGTGAGTTTAAGATAATAATCATAATAACAGCTAATATTTATATAGTGCTTACTATGTGCCTGGAACTGTGTGAAGCACTTCATTAGGTCATTTGATCCTAACGACAGCCATGGGAGGTGGGTGCTATTATTATTACCCCCATTTTACAGATGAGGAAACTGAGGTGCAGTAACTTTCCCAGTGTCACACAGCTGGTATTGGAGGTGGGATTTCAAGTAAGGTCTTCCTGACTCCGGGCCAGGAGCTCTATCCAGTATGTGTATTGAACATTCATTTTGAGATGTCCAATAGGCACCTGGAGATGTGACACTGGAGTATTGGAGAGAGGTTAGGGCTACATATTTAGATCTGATAATCATTTGCACAGAGATGCTAATTGAATCCATGGGAGCTAATGTGACCACCAAATGAAATAGTATAAAGGGAGAAAAGAAGAGGGCCCAGGATGGAGCCTGGGGGGCACCTCTCCTTATGGGTGGGTCCTGAATGAAGATCCAGCAAAGGAGATGAAAGGAGCTGTCCGACAGTCAGGAGAACCAGGAGAGAATAGTGCTGGGAATGCCTAGAGAGAAGGGAATACCCAGTAGGAGAGGCTGAGTGACAATGTCAAAAGTTGAAGAGACGTCAAGAAGGATGGAAATTGAGAAAAGGCCATTAGATTTAGTCATTAAGAGATTATTGGTACCTTTGGAAAGTACAGTTTCAGGAGAATGATGGGGTTAGAAGCAAGATTGCAGAGAGTTATGACAACTAGAGAAAAGGAAGTGAAGGCACTAATTACAGATGGCTTTTTCTCCAGGAGGAGAAATTTTGCATGATAACTAGCAGGGATGGATGGATCAAGCAAGAGTTTTTAAGGATGGAGGAGACAAGGGTGCATTTTTAATCAGAA